CAATGCTTCACCCAACTTTTCTTCGTCAAAACCGCGGTAGTCTTTTGTCTACATGTTCCAAACTTGAGGAGCTCTAACAAGTACCAGATACGTCTTAGTCCGTCTAGGTTTAGCACCGAATTTCAGTTGCACTTCGTTATGCCCTTTAATACCTGATGGAGGCTGCAAAGACAAACACTGAGATGGATGCGACTTTTCTTGTGCAGTGTAGTAGTTCAACCGTATAGGTACAGGGGTGAGGCAGAATATCATCGCCACTCACATTAGTGGGCATCCCCTGTACTTTCATGTGCCCATACTAGTGAAAAGTGCACGATTTATGTGCTTTGTGAAGACTCATCGCAGCTAGGCTCAGCCAGACAACACCACAGTGCAAGAAAGCGCCTGACGGCCTTTTCGTCCCGTTGGGATTCGTCAGTAGCGCGCACCCCCCGAATCCTGCCGGATTCAAACCCACTATCGTACTTTTACGAGCCAGCAACTTATGCCACTGAACCATGTGTGACGACAACGGACCGCCTACTACACCACACTAATAATCAGTAAATGTCTTGGCAGCCTACAGGCCACCTTGATTGGTGGCGCCTTGAAAACGAAGTCGTTGCTCTGGGGGTTAGTCCTGATCGCTACACGTTCATAACTTGCATGACAGCGAAGATTCGTCCTGCTATATCGCAGTTAGAGATCAGTGCTGGCGGTCCACTGCCATCACCCATGGCTCAGTGGCATAATTTACTGGCTAACAAAAGCAAGGTCGTGGATTCGAATCCGGCAGGATTCGGCGGGCGCGCGCTGCGGACGAGCCCCAATAGGACGAAACGATCGTCTAGCGCTTTTCTGGATGTGTGCTGGCTATCTGCTTGAGTCCAGCAGCGACATGTTTTAACAAAAGTGCAAATATTTCTCAATTAAACTGCCTATTGGAGGCTGCAAGTTTCGTATCCTATATCCCTCTAAAATCTGCGTTGCGAATTGACCATGGTCAGTGGTGCCGGTTGGAGCCGCACAGATGTTCCGATTCATGTAACACTGGAATAATACCGGCCTGTAGATGGAACAAGTCACATTCGTCACATACTGCTCCAATCAGACGGCCACTGTGTGTCCGGAAAATCGATATGCAGCCGTTCCTGATGTGCGCAATCAATTTGCCACCCGTGGATCTGGAATTTTCAACTATACGCTTATCACCTAGTACCTAAGCCCACCGGATCATGAGGTTCGGCATCGAGCGACAAGACTGTTGCCATTGGTGACAAAGGTAGCTACTATCACTAATCATTTATGCGTTATGCATTATTCTCCTAATATGAATTGTGCATGCTTCTTTCCCGGTTGCGGATCCGAACATCCTCACCTGATGACCGAGTTTGGTTTTCACCGAAGTGCTTTTCCTCACGTAACCAGAGAGATCCCGCAAAAAGTTAACAATGTGTGCCACAAAGGGTTTTTCAAACTATATTGACACATGCGCAATAGAGACTACATCTGGTGAATCGTTGGGCTTTTCGTATTGACATTCAAATGCTCAGCGTACACTTGTCCACTGTTTTAAAGTTTGAACTATTTTGCTCCATGAAATTCTTCACTGGACTAACAGTGTACGAAGATGGTCAACATAAATTCCCCCGATTACGTGACTGCAATGCTTGAACAGGATGGCTTCTAAGCTGTCGTCTTTGCTCCCCCCCCCCCCCCCCAAATGTGAGCCGCTTAGTCTTCTGCGGTCTTTTTGAACCAACCAACCGGCTCCACTTTGCAAGAACTCAACGGCACACATAGAACGAGTTGTTGACAAATGCCACAAAATCTCGTCTTTAGAATCCCTTTTTTAGTGCAGAAGCAACAGTTAGGGAAGTAATTAAGTGAAGCTCCTCAGCGGCTTCCAGTTAACATATTTCTCCACATAACTGTACAAGCACTAGACAGCAGTTTCGTCCTATTGGGACTCTTGAATAGAACGCATGCATCGGCTCCATCAGGATCCGATCCCATGACCACTAGCGGTCTGCACTGCCAGCCAGCAGCTTATGCCGCTGAGCCATTCAGGACAGTGGTAGACCGTCCTGGTTTACAGGGTAACTACGATGCGTGCAACTTATCCTTCACCGTCATATAATTTAAGAAGGTTACAGAGGACAAGGATGGCCCCATAAGACACGACTTTTGCTGACTAGCTATGTACGCCGCAGAACTTAGAAAGTGCTGCGACCAATAGTTACGTCATGACGGTCCGACACCATCTGTC